GATATCCATATTCTCCCAACTGATAGGGGATTATCAGAAAGGATCAAAGGTAAAACCCTAAGGGCACAGACAGACATATCAAAGGTCAAGTTCTTGGATGTGCATGGCCATGGTAGGGAGGTGGAGGACTTTGCTATCAAGAAGGCTGAGAAGAGCCCCAGCTGCTGTAGCTCAGTGGATTGAGTGCAGGCCTGTGAACAAAAAGGTCACCAGTTTGATTCCCAGTTGGTTTGAATCCCAGTGGGGGCACATGCCTGGGTTGCAGGCCAGGTCCCCTGTGGTGTACGAGAGAGGCAAGCAACCACACATTGATGATTCTCTCTCTCTCTTTCCCTCTCTTCCCCTCTCTCTAAAAATAAATAAATAAAATCTTTTTTTTAAAAAAAGGAGGAGGATGAGAAGACACAAAGCTATAGAATTTGATCAATAACTGACATGGGTGCTGAAGTTACAGAGGGCGATAAGCAGAGATGAAAAATGGGAACCCCCTGCTAAAGTCGATGTGCATTATGGAAGTGGGTCCCAGAGAGTGGGAGACAAAAGTGGGTAAGTTGTAAAAAGGTGATAGAAACAGTGGCAGGATCTTTAAAAGCACCATTCCCTTGCTCATCAAATACCTGCTGTTTGTGCACTCATGCAAGGCTTTGGTGATAGAAGCTATAGGATAGCAATGTAGAAAATAAAGAGGGAGGGGATGGCTTGATGTTCTAGAAATGACACTGATCCTTTTCCATAGAAGCAGGGCAAGTTGGGGCTGTGGCAGGGCCAGAAGCAGGGAAAGTTAAGGCTTCCCTGGTTGAGCTAGAGAATGGTTCTTATACTTTTCAGTGGGAGTCGGGCTCCAGTTAGGGCAAGCAGATCAGTGTAGTTTGGGGGGGAAGACAAGAAAAATACATCTAAAGGATCACACCAAGTTCAGTCCATGTAACTTTAGTTCCGTAAGATTTTAATGGATAACGTGATATTTTTAAGGGGATGAGGTTATTCTGTAGTTTGGGCAATGTTCTCATGTGCTTGATGGATACACAATTTAATGAACATGGCAGATCTCCAAGAGGGGGCCTATAATATGCACTATTTCCCAAACTTATCTGAGAGTAAAACCCCTTTTCCTGTTTTTTTTTTTATTCTCACCTGAGGACTTTTTTTTTTCATTGCTTTTTAGAGAGAAAGGAAGGGAGAGAGAAACGTCAGTGTAGGAGAGAAGCATCAGTTGGTTGCCTCCCATATGCTCCCAGACTGGGGATCATAGGCTCCAGGACCAGGGACCAAATCTGCAAACTAGGTATGTGCCCTGACGAGGAACCAAACACACAACCCTTCGACCATGGGACAACAGTCCAACCAACTGGGTCACACCGGCCAGGGCTCCTTTTTCAAAAATCAAATCTTTATTTTTTTCCATTACCATTTAGCCCCCTTATACTCCCACCCCCAGCAATCACCACACTGTTGTCCATGTCCTTTCCTTTTTGAGGATCATCTCATGGTACTGTTGTTCCACGGAACACACACGGAGAGACACAGGTCTAGAGTACAGGAGACTGTGCCACAGCAGCATGGAGTTTCCCTGGGAACAATGTCCTTGTTGTTATTGTCTCCCACAACAATGCTGGTGGGAGACAAGGTGGCAGAAAGGGATGTCAGGAGGTGGCCAAAAGGAGGGTGTGAGTACACATGAAGATGACAGTAGTGCCATGGGCCCTGCACAAGAAGGTTGTGTAGAAGGGACAATGGGTGCTGTGAGTGGGAGACATAACACACAAAGGAAGCCAGAGAGGAGGCAAAGGGGGAGGTTGTGAATGACAGAGCAGGAGGGGGCCTGGCTGGAACGACAAAGGCTCCATGTGACGCAGCCACAGATCCCACCACACAGGCATGCACACGCCCACAGCAGAAGCAGCTGGGCTGCACTGGGTTACACCAAACATGCGTTCCCATGGCAGCACAGCCTTCCTGTACCCTGGCCACCCCAGGGGCACCAGCACAGGAGGGTGGGCACAATCAACAGTTTTTTTCTCTGCTCACCACCTTCCTGCAGTGCTTTTTTCTCAGAAAGGAATGCCAACTGCTACACTGCGTCATTTAATTCTGGGTTTCTTTATTTTGCCTTGTTTTTGTATTTTGTCTTCTAAAAGCTCAGAATACAAGGAGCTTTTTTGGTTTGTTTTTTGTTTTTGTTTTTTAAATACAGGCAGTCATCTCCCTGGTGCCCTCAGCATCCTTCCCAGGCACGGAAAGACAATGTTCCCTAAGCCCACACAAAGATAAATAAGACTTACCCCAGGCTGCTTGGACAACATGGGTACATGGTCATGAGCTGCACACTCCCAACCTCCTTGGTGCTGCTCTGGGAAGCATTTACCTGTTCCATGCCTGACTAAAAGCCTTCCTGGCTCCTTGCTTCTGGGCACTCCATTAGGACGACTCCCTACAGTCGGGAAGCTCTTCTCTAGGGCTGGCTGGGCCCTGCCCCAGAGGTCTGACTACATTCACATGGGAAAAAAATGAATCATGAACAATCAAGCAATCATCACCATGTCAGAGTGTACCATACATGCATTCTCATACCCCGAAATGATGTGAAACAAGATGATGCTCCAAGACTATGTATTAAAGCCAGGAGGGCCTCCTGGAGCAAGTAAAGTGGGAGCTGACTTGGAAAGTAAAAGAGACTCTCTGACTAGAAGAAGGTATGGGGAAGGCATTGCAGTAGAGGAAGAGCCAGACATGACAGAATGGGAGGATTAATTAGCAGGGCATCCAGGGACATCAGGTTACATAGGCTCAGAGCCATTCAGAAGAGAAAAAGATCCAAGCAGGCTCCCCAGAGGGCTGGGGGCCATGTCCTGGGAGCCCAGATTATGGGCAGCAGCAGAAGTAAGTCAGAAGCCCAGTGCTGCCCAGTGGCCTCCGGACTTCTACTCAAGATATTCTCTCATGCTCAGCAAGCACTCAGGTCCAAGTTTACAAAGGCTTTGGAGGCTATCTTACGTTCGCCTCCTCTCCTCTCACACTAAAATCGCTGCCACGTGACCCCGCCAAGGGATGATCAGTCTGTGCTTCAGCATCTTCAGTGACAGGGGCTCACTACCTGACAGACACACACACCCCTAACACTAATGGGAACGGGAAGCTTCCAGGTCAATTTCCTCTAACGGCAACAACAACAGTAAAATACAAGTATTATTATTATTATTATTATTATTATTACTGCTACTAATCGCAATACTATGGAATGCACATAGTACCTTACAAAGCTTACACACTCCCATCTCATACTCTGCCCTCACCTCCCATCCCAACAGTCTTCATCACTGGACATGCTTCTTCCCTCTGGTCAGCTGGGAGATACCTATTGCATGGTTTCTCCTCCCCTCCCTCCCTTCTCTCCATTTTGGCAGTTGCCCATCAGCCAGGCCAGCACTGCCTGTGGAGTAAACCTCTGCACTGTGGGACCGTACTGACTCTTTCCCTGTGATTCCACTGCCATTCCTTGCAGATGACTAGGCTCTTCCAGAAATTAAAGCTCATTCCATGAAGCTTAAGCACTTGGGCATGTTTCTTTAAATGTGATCCTTGGCTATTCACAATGCCACTCCCCCAGCCCCTGCCAGAGATTCTGACCCAGGAGGCCCGAATGAAGCCCTAGGGTTTCAATTATATCAGCAGTCATCAAGCTCTTTCTTAAAGGACCATTGAGTAAATATTTTAGGCTAGGGGCCAACTATCTCTGCTGAAACCATACAACTTTATTGTTGTAGTAACAAAGAAACCACTGACAACACTTGCAGTAGACTGAATGATATAGTAGACCAAACATACCTGATCCCTGGAACCTGTAAATGTTACCTTATTTGGAAAAAGAATATTTGCAGATATAATTAAGAACCTTTTGGTGGAAAGATTATCCTGGATTATCAGAGGGGCCCTAAATGCAGTCACAGGTATCCTTACTGTGAGGCAGAGAGAGATCTGACAGACAGAATTGCAGAAGGCAATGTGATCATGGAGGCGGAGATGGGAATGAGGCAGCCACACGCCAGGGAATGCTGACAGCCACCAGAACTGGAAAAGGCAAGAAACAAATTTTCCCCTAGAGCTTTGGAGTTAGCCCAGCCCTGCTGATACATTGATTTCAGCCCAGGAAACTTATTTTGGACTTCTTACCTCCGTAACTGTGAGAGAATAAATATCTGTTGTTGTAAGCCACCACATCTGGGCAACTTGTTACAGTGGCAATAGGAAACTAATACACTACCTAAACACAGCCACTTGGGTGTATTCTAATCAAACTTTATTTACAAAAAGCAGGTGGTTGACCTGTAGTGAAATACAGGCTATAGTTTGCTGACCCCTGAATTACACTTTAAAAGGCCCAGGTGTACCAATATGGGCTGGTGAGAGAACTCAGAAATAAATATTTGGAAGTCATTATTCAGAAGAATAAATAGATAGAAACACTCACTTGAGTTCCCTTTGAGAGGAAGGAGAGAGGAGAAGGAGCCAGAAAAAAAATGTTAATGTCCTGTCTATGACCCACTCTGAGATGAACCCAAATAAAACCTCTGAGAATTGTGAAGTGGACAGACTCCTCCAGCTGGAGCATCTCTCAGAGGGGCTTGGGAGGGCGGGCAGGGTGAGGTATATGTGTGTGTGGGGTGTGAGGGGTGTGTGTGGGGTGTGAGGTGCGTATGTGAGGGGTGTGAGGTGTGGGGGGGTGTGAGATGTGAGGGGTGTGAGGTGTGTGTGTGGGGGGTGAGGTGTGTGTGTGGGGGGCACCCACCTGTGGTAGTGAACATCCTCCAGGACACTGAGCTGGGACCAGAGCTCTCCCTTCTTTTTCTGCCTCCCTCTGTACAGAGGAAGCAGCTGCTCTGAGTGTGAATTCCACTCCCACTTCTCTCTCACTAGCCCACAGAGAAGTGAGTGCCACAACAGGTGCACACACACACAACTTCTCTGGGTCCATTATGGAGGAAAGTTCCACAGACACTCACCAGAAACGAAGGCCACTTTTTCCTTTAGGATGGGAAGGACATCAGAAGCTTTCAAACCATCATTCCGAAAAGAGCCTGTGAGACAACAAAACAGACAGACTCAGGGTGAAAGAGGCCAGGTGGCTGAACCCCTGGCTCCCACCCCCGGGGTCCCAACCCCATCACGTCTCGTTCAGGCCCCACAGCCCAGTCCAATGGAACAGGAGGGGGTCCGCAACAGAAAGAACACCTCCACATGTTGCCAGGCCACAGGGGGACAAGGGAAGACAGCCCAAGTCACTCCCTCCATGTATTCAAAGGTCCATGACCTGGAGGCAAAATCTACAGCCCTGTTTCTGTGAACTTGAAGACAGGGACTTTTAAAAAGTAATTTTTGTGCTTGTAGTGCTACCACGGTGTCTGGTACATGGTAAAAACTCAATAAATATTTGTTGAATAGGTTAGTTGATATCAAGATGGACCACAATTCTGTAAACAATTCTATTTGCCTTTCCTCTGTGTGGCAGAGCAAATGTTCATCTTTTTTTTTCAAGTATAGTTTTTTTAAATTAATTAATTAATTTATCTTTACAGGGGAAGGGAAGGAGAGAGGGAGAGAAATATCAACGTATGGTTGCCTCTCGTGTGTCCCCCACCGGGAACTAGCCTGCAACCCAGGCATGTGCCCTGACTGGGAATCAAACCACAATCGTCTGGTTCACAGGCCTGCGCTCAATCCACTGAGCTACACCAGCCGGGGCCAAATGTTCATCTTTGCTTTACCAGTGGGAAAAGAAAACCACGAAAACCCCCAACTGGAAAAAAAATTGAATGTAATACCCTTCTTAACCTCTGTCTCCCTCCCCTTCAAAGTCACCATCATCAGTCCACAACAAATAGGAGATAGGAAACATCAATCTCCCGGGAAGAAAGAGTACTCCTTTCTTCAGCAACTTGTCCTCTGCTTACAACTTGCTTCTCTGTTGAAAAGTTCTTTCTGGGATCTAGCTGAGTTCCTGTTAGGAGGCTGGAGGCAGAGGTATGGGGCCCACACAGAATGGAAGATAACCATGTGTCTGGAGAACAGTAGCCTCAGGAGGCAAAGAACAACCCAGCCAGGGGTGAGATGCGTGGGGAGGAGCCAGCATCCACACACACACAAAACCCCAGTCCAGCCCACTGTGCCCCTATCATTTAACCTGAATACCCCTGTCGGACTCTCCAGGAAAGCCAGCCCACATTCAGCTCACCACAAGGGACATGGCACAGAGGGACCCTGGAATCACCACAGGGGACATGGCACAGAGGGACCCTGGAAGGGAGGCAGCTCTGTGTCAGCTCAGTGAGACAGAACCAGACAGAGATCACGGACACTCCCTCTAGTGCCTTTCAGTACTTGGTTTACTCCCTTACAGTACAAATGTGATAATCTACAGAGGGAGAAACGTGATGGGCAGGACAATCTCACTCAGGGCTGTCTCAATCTCTAAATGCTGACTACTTCAAGAGATCCAAAATTGTTGGAAATTTTGACAACAACCCAGGATTAAGATCACTGGCCTAGGGAAGGGAAATGAGGCCGTTGCACACTCAGCCAAAGAACCGAAGTGATGTGTCCCCAGAATGCCGGTTGCCATGGTCAGATGTCACACCCTAACCCAAAACAAATTTTCTAAGTATATCTGACAATTTTTCACTAAATGAGGACAGTGAGCCTTTTTATTCATCAGCTGCTTCTCTTTGCAAGTTGGCCCATCATCCCTGATGCTGGAGTAACCCACTGCAAGGCTCACTGTGAGAAAACCGTAGGCAATAGAAGAAAAAAAATCACACCATGAAAAGCAAGTTTTAATTATAAGCATTGTTTTCTACTTTCTCTCCTAAGTTTCTACAGGTCTTTATGCTCTGACTTTATCTTCCAACACAGAAAAGCTTTTAAACCTCACTAGTAGAAATAGGATCGATATAAATTATTATACAAATAACAAATACATGCATAAGGTTTCTTTTTACCCTCACGCAATAAATTTCAGTTCCCTTGGTAACTGGAAAAAAAAAAAAGAGCCCTATCAGGCCTTACCAACTAGACAAGGATCATCTTTAATTAATACATGAATTGCTTGTGTAAAATTATGCTTCTGCATCAAAATAGTTTACTTTCATATATGAAATGTCTTTCTATATGTCAGTTGTAAAACACTCTCTTCTGCATCACTGCATATGCTATTTATTTCTATGTGATATACATTCTATAAGCTATAGCATTTCTATATGCCACTTGCCTTCATTCTGTATGCTATAAAAAATTAATATAAAATTCTAAACTTTGGCCTTGTCTTCTTTCAGATTATACACAAGTTCAAAAACAGCAAGGCCCCAATGCATCGGATATTACCACACAACAAGAACCCATATAACCCTCTTCTCTCCTAAACTCCTGTCCTTTTTTCCACTGCTCTTCCTCTCCTCCCCTACCGTGTTAAAGTTTACAAGAGAGCTCTAATTCCACACAGTCCCCGGGCCTTAAGGAAGAATTTGGATTGGCTGTAACAGAAGCCAAAGGTTTCCTATCCTACTCTCCCCTTGATCCCACCCATGGAGAAGGAGAGGGAGCTCCAAATCTCATCCTTGACACCCCACTCATCATGCCCACCATGTCCTTCTTCCCTCCAGGCTCCAGGACCCTAGAGAAGGGAGCAGCTTGTCCACACAGATGGCAATCATGGGCTCCAGTAAATGTCAATATCTTGGGATGGGCTGTTCTAAGATAACTAGGGCTTCCACTTTCCAGGCCAGAGTCTTCCCCCATCCAGTTCACCCACTGCCAGGTTGTGCCCACTCTAAGATGCTCTAAAATGTCCAGATTTACAAGATCCTTAACTAGGCAATAATCATTCCAACAACAAGAACAAGGCTTTTCACATTACAAAAGGAGTTGTTCCAGTATCTCTTTAAATAAGAGCTGCCTTAGTGGTTTGAGTTAGTTTTTCATTTGCCAAAAATTGAAGTACAAATAACTTCAACAATCTGAGGTCTGTCCAGAAGGTATCCAGTCATGTATTGTGAAAAACAGAGACATTTATTGAAAAGACAAGATACAAGAAACATTGTACATAGGATAATGATGTCTCAGTCCTCTTCAAAGTAGGCACCTTGGGACCTCACACAGTTCTCCCAGTTGCCATCAGCTGCCCCATCATATTTTCCCAAATCTCATCGATGGTCTGAAATTTCTTCCATTTCAAAGGTGATTTTAGTTTTGGGAAAAACCAGAAGTCATAGGGCACCAAATATGGGCTGCAGGGGGATTGAATCACCTGGATGATTTGACGTTTTGCCAAAAAACTCTGTGTGAGACATGATGCTTGAGTGAGTGTGTAGTTGTGATGAAGCTGCCAATCACCAGTTGCCCATAGCTGCTGCCTTCTGAATCATCCAAACAGTTTCCATGGAGGAATGTTTAAGCTTAACACCAAATCTGATGCAGATTCAGTGCTCTATTTGCTCAGTCATTTTGAATGCAATGGCCACACATTTTGAATACACATGCTCACTCAACATCGTCTACCACCCCCACTGACTGGTACAATGAAGTCATCATTATTCACGCATGTGCATTCCAGTCCATTGTCCTTGGTTGCCAGGTTACATGAAACATGGATGTTGCACAAACTGTTCTCATTATATTAACAATGACTGGACTTTTTCCAGACAAACCTTGTATATGTATTAGGTAAAGCCAAATAGAGCTAAATTAATTAGCCCAGCTTATAAGTTGGTGACCTCAGACTGAAAACCTATTTGCACTGGCTGAAGATCCTATGTATCAATTCCCCAAAGGCCCTTGTAAAACCAGCTGTCAGAACCTATAACAAAGGGGAAGTTCATTGAATGCTAACTCATACAGGACCAATAAAAGAGCAACATGTTTTCACTATCAGGTACACGTATGGGCAGACTTTTATTATACAGTAAATAAAATAGTTGATGAAATAATAAATAAACAAATGAATGAATTGTTAACCCTTCCTAAAGTGACTTGCACAAGGTCAATGGCCTCATCTGTCGCAGCAAGTGCTGGAGGTCTGAGTAGATGATTTCCAGAGTACCACTGAGCTCTGAGACTTTTCAAATCTTTTCTTCACATTCATTAGCCTTTAAGATCCTCATATTATCAGGTCAATATGCTTTGAAGGGAAATACTGGGAAGAAATTCCCTAATGAGATTCAGTGTACTTTAGGAAGCTAAAACAACTCTTCCCTGGTCTCCCATCCCCTTCTTCCCCAGGAATCAGGTTAGGAATTGCAATGCCCAAGGCATGCCACCCAATTTTGCAGGTAGCCCCAGTTACCAAAATGGGAGACTAGTGATGGAAGAGTTTCTGTGAGGCAGACTTGGACTGCAATTGAGATCTCTGATATAAGGTATATTTGATATCACAGATTATAAACTCTAGACCAACCATCCACCAACTTCCCCTTCTAAAAGAAAAGCCCACTGTAGCAGTAGGCCCCTTGCTACCTCTAAATAAAGCCTGAGAGGAAGTAAAAGCCCCTAAATGCTGGGAGTTACTGCAAAGGAAAAAAAAAACAAAAACAGAATCCGAGGGCGCCCTTGTGGATCTGACCCAATGAGAATGCTGTGTTTTCTCTTAAGGACAAAGGCTCCACTGGCTTCAATACCAATCCCACACCATTCAAGTCCTGCTGCTGGCAGAATTATAAGCCTGCTGTTCCCATTAATTAGCAAAGTTGAAACGCTCTGCATCTATTAGGGAAGTAAAAATTACAACTGCCATCTCCCCAGGATCTCCAGCATGGGTCTCCAAGCCCCACTTCTGCCCACCCGCTGTTCCGAATGCACTGTGCTTACATCGCTGCGGCCTGTCCCTCTTCACATTCTCCTGTCACCATTCCCCATGATGGCAAATGCCAACCGTCCTCACTCCAGCTCCAAGCCTCTCTGCGGCCCCACGTGGTAACATCAGGACTGGCCTTGGTATCACATAGTCCCTGTCCACGATTTTGTGGCTCTAGGATGGCAGTGAGTCCGGCAGGGCAGCAGGGTGCCTTGTGCTGACCATGCTAACTTCTTT